GCGGCGGTGGGGGGGAAGAAACGGCGACCGGGCACTGCTGTTGAAGCGAGTTGGGCGGCCGAGGCAGCACTTGTGTTGAACTATGTACCCGGCTGATGTTGGTACGCCCTGTTTCCCTCCCTGCTGTATGCTATACTCCTTTATGTATGTCCTTTGGATTGCTTTCGGCCTCTTCGCTGTTTCTTTTTGTCCTGTCCTCCCTGCCTACTCTGCTGTGTTGGGTACCTTGATCTCCCGTTGCTGTTGCTTTTGTTTCTATACATCTGGCTGTCTGCCCATCTGCCGCCTCTTTGTCCTGTTGGCTCCGTTACTCCCATGCCCTGGTGCGTAGTGCCTGGTGCTGGTGCACTACCCTTTGATATTTTCTTTAGGCGGGTGTGGGAAGAGTCCTCCTCCTTTATTATTTTTGTTTTTGTTTTGTGTTGATCGGTTTCCGACGGCTCTTTTTTTCTCGAACGGTTGGTGCGGTACCTGTTGTTTTATTATTACTATTAGTATTTTGTTTGCCTTTTCCGAGTGGTTTGTACCCTATTTTTGTTTTGTTTCCCCGCGGCGTCGTATGTGCCGGGTTTTGAGACCACGGGCTCCCCATTTTNGGTACGTTACCCTTTGATTTTTCTTCGGGCGGGTGTGGGAAGCGTCCTCCTTTTTTTTTGTTCTTGTTTTATTTTGATCGGTTTCCGAGGGCTCTTTTCTCGACGGGTGGGTGCGGTAGCTGTTCTTTTCTTTTTTATCACTTTGTTTCCTATTTCCAAGTGGTTTGTACCCTATTTTTGTTTTGTTGCCCCGCGGCGTGATATGTGCCGGGTTTCGAGACCACGGGCTCCCCGTTTTTCGTGGACTCTAGACTAGAGCTAGACTATTGTGAAAAACAACAAAAACAACAACAAAGCACTGTTGTGCCGTTTACTCCAACCCGTGGTCACACAGAAAAAAAGGTTTCCCCCTATGCCCTATGCCCACCCCTGCTCCTGCGGTACTTTGCCTTCGATTTTTAATGCGAGAAGGGTGCACAGCACTCTGTTCCCTCTGTGTACACACGAACTATGTAGCGCTTTCCACCCACGCCCGCAATGGAAGCGAGAGAAAAACTCACTTTGCAAGAAGAGCTCGCTTGCACCGGGTCCGGACGAACCCACCCCTTACCCCTGACCACTAGAAGGCTTTCGACCATACCTACTAGTCTAGAGGGGCGACCTAGCCATGGAAGGTAAAACATTTTTTATGGTTGGTGATTGGTACATGCTATGAAAGTAGCACGTTGCCAGTCTCCTCGAGAAATGCACATAACACCAGCAGCGCAATTCAACACGTGACCTCATGCAGCTGTAGACGGATAAATGGGCACACGCGCATGTCGGTAGGGGCTTGTGCAACTTCACCTGGAGGCTACGGATGAATCAAATTGTCACATGCGCACAACTGTGATGGTTCAGATGATGCTGATCAGTCACGCGTAGCACTAGACAGCAGAGGCAGCACGTCTTAAGAACTCTATGCACGCGGTGGTGCTGATTACCTTAGAGACAATGAGAGTGTAATTCGCGGATCGTGTGTCAGTTCGTCGAACGCCTTGGTGATGTCGATGGGACACCAGTTGCTAGAGCGATCTGGTACACGCATGTCATCTACAGCTGTGAGACAAAAAAGAATCATTCGCGTATTCACGGTCAGGGTTGTCTCAATAGAGCAAAGCCAGCAAAATACAACATCAAATTTGAACGTGTCCCAAGCTCACGTGTCCCGGCAATTTTGTGCCAGCTGGAGGAAAACGGTACTCGAGCTTTCTCGAGGTTTCAGAGTCATCCTTCCAACCAAAGGAAACCTCCGCCGCCGCATCGACCATCGTATCCGAATATTGTGGGAGCCCTGAAAATGAACCGAAACTACACGCCCATCCCGAGGGCCAGCGCGATGGCCAACAAACTCGTCGCTCCGGCTACGAGAGCCGACGTTGACAACCTGCGGCCTAGTATTCCACCATCAGCACTTTCGGGTTCAATTGGTGGAGACGTTCCGGTGGGCACAGCGATCGGGTCGGGCGCGGGCGCGGGCGTGCCGGTGCATCCGCAAGTGAAGGACACCTCCTGAGCGGTGACGTCCACGTACTCGCCGGTACCTTCGAGATCACCTGACTCGCAGGCGAAACCACACAAACCACGCCGGCAGACATTTTGGTTCCATATCCATATGATCGGGCAGGCGATCGAGTAACGAAGCCCAACAGGTAAGCGGTGCATGCCTTTCTGCTGAGTCTCAAAATTCAGGAACTCGACATTTCCGCAGAGAGTGGCATGACCCCGACGTGATGAGTAAACCGCCGGCTGAGTGTATTGCAGCTGCAAAACGAAAAATGCGGGCTAGTTCCTCAGCTGGAGAATCCCGAATACGAGAAGATTCCGGGCCGTGTGGTCCTGCCCCTGCCGTGGCATGACTGGATCGTGATTCAACAAGCGGGGCGGTAGCGGGATGGGAGTCGCGAAGGTAATTGGTTCTAGGGTACGGTTTTCACGTCCGAACAAGAAAGGCGAGACCAGGGGTGGCAGAACTCCTTTTGCAACATGATGTGTGCTATCGACGGGTTTCAACCAGCGGTTCGAATGGATTTGGGGCAAAGAAATGGGGGCAATGTCGCGCAATGGCCGAAAGAGGGGGTAGCAGCCAACCGGCGGAAGCTCGGCAGGAGCTGCCCGTGAACGAAATGCACAGGGACCCGAACAAGAAACAGCTCGAACCACTAGACGGAAGTGCAGCCCATCATCCTGCACCGAAATGAACCGAAAAGGTTAGTGCAAGAGCTGTACACAGAGTGAGCGAAGATGCCCCNAGGCTGATCACATCAGACCTTGATCGGTGTAAAGAATATTTTTTACGACACCTAACCAAGAGAGCTTCAAAAGGCCGCCATTCACGTCATATAGGACATAAATATCTACGTCAAGAACTCCTTGGCAGTGTCTCAGCGTGTCTCTATTTTGCCGAGGACCTCTCTGCCATGTTCACACCATTCTCAACCCATCATGCCCATGTTAGGTGTGCGGGCTGCCAAGAAGGACATTCCATCCTTACTTTTGTCACGACGGTAACTACGACAGCACCCGAGAGAACCTAGCATAGACGCTACAACAAAATACCACCGGTTTGCTCGAGACCGGCGACCAGATAAAACACACCCTCGCGGTTGTATGGACAGGCTTCAGGGTCATTACAAACAAACGCTGATAATCTCTTCAAAGTCCTTCGAAGTTGAATGCAAAGATTGCGTATGCAAATCCCGGCAGCATTATCGACGGTGAATCCTGTGAAACACGTTGCTATGACAGAAATTTGACAACCGGCGCTTTTAGAACAAATTTATTCGTATATATTTCTACTCTTAATTTCCAACAGTATGTCAAGCTGAACTCAATTTTCAGCCCTCCCGCGTCAGTCCGCATTTTGCAATTTTTCGAGGAACTAGGTTAAGCCTGAAAGAGTCCTAACCTAGGAGGTTTGACCCCTTTGGGAATAGAGTGGTCACCCTGAGTTTCCGGGATACTTCGAGGGGTCATGCTTGATCGGTACTTCATTCATCCACCTTTGAAGAGTAGAGGAGAGTGGGGCGTAGATGGGGGTCGTCGCCATGAATGGTCATTGAAGATTGAAGCCTAATGAATGTAGTCTCCACGAAAAAATGCTGGCAGAAAAAAATAATCGCAGCGTCTCATGGCCATCTCGTCGTCAAGCTTCTATCCTTTCACCATCTTCGCTGCCTTGGTTCATCCTTCGTTCGGCTCGGTGCATTACAAGTGTGAATCGGTGTCATCGAGAGAGTCAAGCCCCCCCCAGCAAGCCCCTATCCACACTCGAAAGGCAAACTCTTACATTGCCACGTTGCGTCGGTCGGGTGAACCAAGATCCCCTGCTCGTTCGAATAGCAGTAAACCACGGTGGCATCGTCGTCCGCGGAGAGGAAGACCAAATACCACGGAGTGGAGTCATCCTGCAAAACATTTCAACACCGGGACAATCCGGAGGATATATAGTGGGGGAAGGAAATTCTTTGACCGGCAAACTTTCAAAGAGCACGCAACAAGGATCGCCATCAGTAGACAAGGCAACCCAAGCTCCAACGTGGTATGGTACAGGTGCAAGTCAGTGTGGAGATGTTGCCATCACACCATGCGGATTGGGCCCGCAATGCGTTTTAGGCGCGAGACACGGGCTGAATAGCGGCAAAGGACTACTACACAGGGCAAACGCTAAATTCCGGTCCAGAGAACTTTGGCTACAACCAGTGAATTAAAACAAAGGAGATCCAGCTTATATATGACATGGGTCTCGGGCGGCATCAGAGAATCACGATGCTCCTTCCACCCGTTTCCCTGCATCACCCACCGACAACGCTGCGAGCCTCTGATCCACTCGGGTGCGCGTGAGCATATACATCCCGCTCTACCGTGTACGCCACACACAGACAGTATCACGGTCAAATATGGGCCCAAACATTGATCAACACCCACATCAAAGTCATAGGGGGGCCTCAGATATCACCACGCCCGCAACAACACTGTGTATCTGCCTCGCGGGTCGTTGACTAATTGAACACAACGTGGTGCCATCAATCGCTTCGCGCGGGGTCAGGGTTCTCGATGCCGCACAACGTAATCTAATCGACCACCGTCGTTGTTACTTTAAAAAAATAGGACAGGAAAAACAATAACGGTAACCTGGATGTCGAGCTCACGCATCGATCGGCGCGCTTACGTCGTCACCAAGCGACGATAACCCACGATGTTGGGGAGGGGGAGTTGGACAAAGCGCGACCCAGACATCAAATTTTCATACGTTCGCTTCCACGGCCTCTGTGGTAGCACCTCACCTCTTCTTCCGTGTCCAGGTCTAGGATGGAGGCCACCAAAATACTCTCAAATTCGGCCTCGCCGGTCAAGCTCCAGTATTCCTCGGTTGATTCCGGCGTAGAGAACAAAGTAGAAGTCGCCTGGAAGCATCCCTGGACATCAGGGAGCTCCGACGAAATGATCTGGAACGACTCGGTGTCCCCACACGTCGGCGAAGACGGAGCGATCTCAGGAGATGAAGGAGCATGGACAACATCCGGGAAGTCGATCGGCTTGAGCGTAGGGGAGGGGGTTCCGCCCCAGATCGCCAGCGCTGGGGGCGGGCTGACGGACGTTGGTATAGAGGTTGGCCCTTGCGTGCCCAGGAGGCCTCGGCTTCCGGCAGCTGGGCCCGGCGTTGGAGCCACGGAAAAAGTCGTTCCTGATATCGGTGTAAGGGTCTCGGATACCGGAGCAGGCGTAACCTAGCCAGCGTTATACCATATGGTCGGACAAAACGAAAACAATGATATGGATTAGGAGCGGGTTTCTGAGATCTTTTCATCTGCTGCAAACGCTGGGGCAGTCGAAGAGCTATTTCATGCGTTCGTATTCTCGGCAGAATGGAAACAAGACAGCCCAGAGTTCGTCTGAGCTGTACCTGGAGTTGAGGGTGCACGATTCCACACTGCCAGCGCTGGCAGCATGTGCAATAGCGAACAGAGGAAAATGGTTGACAGTCGAAAGTGGTCCAAAACTCTGATCTTGCTGGAGACTGTACGACTACCGCCAGACGTGAGGTAGGGAATAACGATAGCCTGTGGGCAGGGGCCCTGTTGTGTGCGCCTTGCAAACCCAAGGCTGCACCCCCCCATGAAGCTGACACGTCAAGTCGAATGACTGCTATGATCAGGAGATTCTGCAGCACAAAAAAATCAAACTTGGGAGAAGCCGCGAGATGGAATGGCCAGCACCCTCTCGATCGAACGCCAAAGGCATGACGGCAACCCTTCGGACCGTCAGGTACGCCGTTGCACAGTTCTTCGTGAGACGTTTGGCTTGGCCAACACCTGTTATAGGTGGGGCTCACACCAATGTGTTTTCAGTCATTCTTGTTGGACATGTGCGTTCAAAGCAGCCGGCCGCACGATCAAAACATGAGATGGACACCAGGCCGTATCATCAAAATATCTCGTCAAACGCACTACTTCAGCATGCCCGCCGGCCCATCCTTCACAGACATCAGTACTACGGGAAAGGAAGCGCGTTTGTTGCACTCATTAAGCGTTTTCAACATACCGGGGCGTCCGTCAAGGATACCGGGGCAGGCGTCGTGGCGCCAACCGGTTCAGGAGGAGCAGGCACGGGCGGGTTCAAGCGTGGTAGGTACGGGTTCCGGCGTGGTAGATACGGGTTCCGGTGTGGCAGACAAGCGTTCAGGCGTAGGATTTACCTGTTCCGGCGTGGTCGGTACCGTTGGTTCTGGCGTGGTAGATACGAGTTCAGGCGTCGCTGTTACGGGTTCAGGCGTAGGGTTTACCGGTTCCGGCGTGGTCAGTACGGTTGGTTCCGGCGTGATAGATACGGGTTCCGGTGTCGTTGACACGGGTTCCGGCGTAGGGGTAACCGGTCCCGGCGTGGTCAGTACGGATGGTTCCGGCGTGGTAGATACGAGTTCCGGCGTCATTGATACGGGTTCCGGCGTAGCAAGTACAGGTTCGGGCGCGGGGTCTGGGAGAGGAGGCTCAGGGGTGGGCTCTGGGAGAGGAGACTCGGTAGCCTCAGGGGTGAGGTCGCTGGAACACCCGCACGTGAAGCTGGCACCATCGGCCCCCAAGGTCTGGGTCGACGAAGACGCGAAGATGACTGCTTGCTCCGTTACTCCCATGCCTTGGTGCGTAGTGCCTGGTACTGGTACGTTACCCTTTGATTTTTCTTTTGGCGGGTGTGGGAAACGTCCTCCTTTATTTTTGTTTTTGTTTTATTTTGATCGGTTTCCGAGGGCTCTCTTCTCCAACGGTCGGTGTGGTACCTATTCTTTTGTTTCTATCATTTTGTTTTCTTTTTCCGAGTGGGTTGTACCCTATTTTTGTTTTGTTTCCCCACGGCGTCGTATGTGCTGGGTTTTGAGACCACGGGCTTCCCATTTTTGGTGGACCATAGAGGTAATGTGAGAAACAACAACAGCTAGGAATGTTTGCCTCTAAATCAACAAAACATTTTTTTTTTTGCCTTCCGACAATTGCAGATGTACCTCAGAAAACTTTCACTTAATGTCTCATACTCTACATGAATATTAAACCAATACGAAGTACAACAACATATGTAGGACTTATTTCTCCTGTCATTTACATCGTAAAAATATCTCCTCTTCAACTTGAAATACCAATGACAATCCTGATGGTATCCTACATGCGTTCGTAAGCTTGATAAAATACTACTGCGTTGATGTCCTCTTGTAAAAGCTGAAATCCAACAAATGCTTTGATCCATGCTACATCTCCGTGTTGGAAAAGCCCTTTCATCTCCGTTCATGATAACATCTTACCCTATTCTATGCAAATCTGTCACATCTACTCTCAAACAAGACGCCAACTTCAAACGAAAACGCGCTCTACGATGCGTCTACACTCCATCCCCATATCATTGGCGTTGACTGGTCCGAGGTCGATCTTGTTCGCCTGTTTTCGGCGTCTTGACGCCCGCGCAATGCGAGCTTGTACCTCTGCAATATTTTTTATTTTAATATTTTTTTGCCTTCCGACATTATTGAAAAAAGTCGACCTCCACCTTCCTATTCTAAACAACTCTGGCAGATGCAGTCTTCGTCGTTGCTTTCGTTTGTGGTATCACGATGCCGTGTTGACCTTCGATTGCTTCTAAGATCTGGCGATCAACCTCCTCCCTCACGACACAAAAGTCCAAGTCTAACCGATTGCTCCATCGCCTTAATGGCATGGTTACACTGGGTAGTCGATACTGTATCATAAAAATGGTAAACATCACCTCACAGAAAGACAACCCGGTTTTTTCGTTAATATATATATTGCGGGGGTTTTAGAGGACAACAGCCAATCTATTGCTATACGATTTTATGAGGTAGACTAAAGGCTAGGTGCGGATGATAGGGGCATCTTCATCGGGTCAGGTTTTCCCCTTATCCCCTTGTTGGCGCCCCCCCCGGTGTTCGTCATCGGGGTTGGGTTTTCGTCGCTTGGCAACGACGTTGTAAAACAAGCCGCCCCCCCCGGTGTTTGCCATCGGGGTTGGGTTTTCGTCGCTTGGCAA